TCCAGACAAAAGGCCCCGTGTGCTGTTCAGAGCAGTATTGTGGTGTCAGAAGGACAGTGGACCCCCTCCTCACATACAAACACACATGTACACACACATGTGTTCCCCTTCTGACACAATGTCCAGGAGTAGCTTAAATGGAGCTAGTGCAGCTGAATTCCTGTGAATCATGCTGACAGCACAGCTGTGTCTGGGTTCACAGAGCTCTCCACTGGAACAGAATCATGGAATAGAATCATAGACTGGTTTGGGTTGGAAAGGACCTTAAGCTCATCCAGTTCCAACCCCCCTGCCATAGGCAGGCACGCCTCACACTAAAAGAAGCTAATGCTGCTTCACTCCACTCAAGCACGGAGCAGGTAGATTACCTGTGCCGGGTTGACCCTGGTTGGATATCAGGTGCCCACCAAAGCCGCTCTGTCACTCCCCTCCTCAGCTGGACAGGGGAGAGAAATGAAAAGCTCATGGGTTGAGGTAAGGACAGGGAGAGAACATTCACCAACTGAGCAGTCACCAATTACTGTCATGGGCAAAACAGGCTCAGCTCAGGGAAATTAATTTCATTTATTGCCAATCAAACCTGACTGGGTTTAAACCTCGACAGCAGGGTAATGAGAAATAAAATCAAGTCATAAAAAAAACACCTTCCCCACCACTCTGTTCTTCCTTGGCTCAACTTCACTCATGATTTCTCTACCTACATCCCCACGAAGTAGAGCAGGGAGATGGAGAATGGGGACTGTGGTCAGTTCAACCAGCCTTGGCGCTGGTTGGCATTGGCTGTATCAGACATGGGGGAAGCTTCTAGCAGCTTCTCACAGAAAAACTCCCTCTGTATCCTTGCTGCTACAAAAGCCTTGCCCTGCAAACCAAATATATTACTCAACACAGCAACCCTGCTAATGATAAGACAGAATGTTCAGACTCCTAATTGAGCATACTTCCTAATGTCAAAGGCACACACAGGCTGCTTCACACCCTTCCAATCTCCTCTGCTTTATGCTGATGCTTCAAAGAAGTGTCTGGAAAATTAGTGGAAAGCCAGCAGGAGCCTGGATTTGGTTAAAGCTGTCTCTCCCCCAGCTGTACCTGCACTGCTGGTATTGCTAAATGATTGCCTATTGGCTCTGCAAGCCATCACACATGTACTCAGAGTATGCTTGGTCACCCATAACCATTTCATGGGAAGGGGTGTCACAGGAGGGTGCATATTTCACTAGGTACAATGATAAAAAGTAGAACAGCCAAGTAAAATGAAAGCTAATCAACTTATTTCAAATACTTGCAATTGCCATGTAAACAGCAGTATTGGAGCTCTGCTGTTACACTGCTCTTTTAGTGCCAGTTATTAGTAATTTATCTGAAGCAGCTGAAGAGCAGCCTTGTTTCATTCTGGCTTCCCCATCTCCAACTCTCTATCCTTCACCTTGTATTTCTGCTGTATTAGCTTTTCATTGATCAGCAGCAGCCAACTTACTGAACACAAAATACCACCAGTGGCTTTAAATCACAGTCTTCTGTTTTTTCAGTTGTTCTTTTATGTCCCATTTTCTCTGTATTTGGCAGGAGTGCCCGTTAACCCTCCTTCATCCTTCTGGTGCCCAAAAGTTGTACAGAATTAGGCAGTTTTGTAGGGCCAGCATCCATTTTCCATCAAGCTGTGTTGCCTTCTCAAAGTTTGCTACAAGTACTGGAGCACTGCAGGCAGCACAGGCAGTCACAGACATGGAAACCCTTTCCATACCCAGCACCAAAAACCACCAAGTGCTGAGGACAGACTATGCCTATCCCCTCTGGTGGGACCATGCTCTCAGTGTTTCAAGCTAAGCAGTGGCTTTGAGGCTGGTGGAGGCACATGGGAACACAGGTCTCATCTAAGTCCAGTTTGGAATGCCTGACTACCATATCTGAGAGTCTGGGATGGCCCAAAAAGAAAGAGCATCTTGGCTTTTCATTCCCAGTGAATTGCCCATATACACAGTTGCCAGGTTTCATACAAAGCTTAGCACAACTGGGTCAGTGGAGGGTTGCGAGCTTAGGATTCATACTTATGTGGGCGTAGCATCAGCCAATATGGGACACATTCTAAAGGAAAATGCCATTTATGTATCAAGGGTAGGTTGCTGTTCCTTCTCTCACCTTGTCTTTTCTTTCCTGGGTGTGTGTCTGATCGCAGATGCTATGAGAAATACTAATTTGTGAAATTATGGGGGTTTGCTAAAATGCTGGACCTTGAAAGTAACATCTTCAGAAGTCAATTTCTAAAAGAACAGAGGGAAAGAGCTCACTGCCTAGAAATAGGGTTTGCAAACTCCAACTGCTACACCAGAAGGAAGCACCGTGCAGAAAACAGGCACTGAAAAACTCCTTCCTCCATTTGGATGGACCAGAAGGTTGGTGTGCAAAGCTGGAATTTATAGCCCAGAATTACTGCAAGAGATGGGCACCCAAAAGCTCCCTCGGGTGATGGTGGAAGCAGCAGTAGTTCCTAATACTTGTAAAGCTCAAATACTAGGTTCCCTTGCCTCAAAGCCTGGCGTGACTCATGCATATCCCCACTGTGTTAGGAACTTTTCCTGACACACCAGGGCTGAGTAGGCCTCCCATCTACCCTGAAAGCAATCACGTTTTAGCCACTAGGGCCTCAGGATTCATAGCATCCAAGAGGGAGATGAACTGTTGATTCACGCGTAAGAAATTTGGCTGGGGACACAAGCATGGGTGATCCTACTGCAAACACAGTGCATTGGGATTTTTCACTCCAAGCCACTAAATAAGAGAAAGAAAGGGTTAAATAGGAAATCTGGTGCTGTTCAGACCCACATGGTGTGACGGCACTCAGTAATAGCACAGAAATAGTCATGGAGAGACCTACTGAAGGAAGAAGGCGCTTAGCGAAAGTCCTGATTGATCAGCTGAATGAGTAATCTGAGTTGGAGAAGAGCATTAGTGCTTGTACCAGGCAATCAATAGACAGCAGAGAGTGCCATTCCATTTAAAGGGCTCAGACAGGCCTTAACTGCCTTGACAGAAAATGAAACCTGTAACCTTGTATTTAAGTCAGGTGCTCTGTATGATATACACCCTCTCAAAGCATTGGCATGGTGTCTCAGCACAGTGTATTTGTGATCAGTGATGGAGCTTCTGGTGTGAATGGGTGACAGTTGTGTTGTATTTAGGGCTGTGCACATTTGCCTCCATGAATCACCCTTTATTCCTCTATGTCTGAATACCAAAATTCACATGGCCTGCAAAACGCCAGCCTTTTATGCTGGAGACAGAGATAACCAGTGAATTTGCAAGTTCCAGTCCAGAGAAATTACCCTGATTTAAGGTTTTGACTTCAATCTTATATCAGTCTTTGTTGCTCTTGCCACAGAGAGTTATTAATCCAATCCTTTTCCTGCCAAGTTTAATGAGCATTTATTCACCTCTGCTGTCAGCAGAGCTGAACATGGCTTGTAGGAGTATGTACTCTTCTCTGCAGGTTCCTCAGCCACTCTCATCATCATGAGGCATCTCTGCAGCTTATTTGTCCCTCAGAAAAGGCAGCTTTGGACATGTGCCCCCTACTCTTACCTGTATGGTAAGGGGGGGAACAGAGACCTTGCACTGGCACACCCTGGTAGGCATGCTGCTTTTCCACAACAAGTGGGGAAAAAGTGCTCTTTTTTTGCCTCTCCGAGGCAAATGAAATCTGCAATATAGCAGAATATTCCACACACCGCAGGGGAAGCAAAACAAATTCACTATTCGGGTTCCTCAGCAAGCAGTCTGGTAAACCCCTATTATTCAGGCATGCCACCAAATTTGTTATCAACATTTTCTCAATGCTCTGGAGAATGTTTCTAATTGGTCCCTTTCCTGCCTTACTGACTCCACACTCAGCTTTTACCTACAAGCCTTGCCTGGTGTTTTGGGATGAGACTGGGGCAGTTAGCTCCACTTTTGCAATTGCTAACTCAACTCAACTGACTGCCCACAGGAAACAAGGAAGGACTTTGAATCAGAAAGCTGAACATGGGTTTGTATGAAAGCCTCATCATCCATGGGCTTCTATCCCTGCTGGAGTCAGGGCTGTATTAATAACAGACACTGCATACCTATTTAGCTTTAGGACCTGAATTCTAGTTGTGATCCTGTCGTGAGAAGTTAAAATAAACAATCTGTCCTAAAAGAGAAGCTAATTTAAATCCCCTTTTACACTGAATACATAAAGTTTGCCATTCTGATGGCTTTAAGGTACATTTCAGCAGTAAATAAAACATATCTGAAAATTTATGCGAACAATATGCTGTTTAAAAATACAGTTGCAAAATGTTTCGCTTGTTTGTTTGGTTTTTTTTTAGTAAAGAAAGCATGTTCCCAAGAATCAATGTGAGATAAAAGAGAAAGGCACACAGGGGACATCACAGATTACCAGGAGGAGAAGCAGGAAAGGCAGCAACACTTTCTGCTGTAGGGTGTGTTGGTCTGGTGAGTTGCTGTCTAGGGAAACAGTAGTAACTCAGGCATGGTGTCAAGCTGGGCTGGACTAACGCTTAATGATGGTGCTGCTTTTCTGTCCCCACTGGTCCTCTCTGCAGCAGCCTCAGTAGAAGGAGAAAAGGTAGAAGGATAAATTCCCTTGCCTGGCACAAAGCACAGTCCTCTGGTCCATACAGCATCTGGGTGCAGGTACAGACAAGTTCGCTGCCCTTTCTCTTCCTCAGCTGGGTCTGGGTCTCATCCAGAAGCTCCATGAGCATCTTAGTGTGGCATTCTCAACAAGCTACTGTGAATCAAGGTACATGAGTTTTACCCCTAGTGACTTTGGACACAGTGGGACACAGCTCATCCTGCCCTTGCAGTGTCCCTCCTTGGGAGATGGATAGCTTACATACTTTGCTATTAATTCTGCTATGCCTTTTGCACCTTTCAGATCTGGATTTCTACAGCTGTATGATGGCCAGCCAGGCTGTTGCCCTGATTTTGCTTTTCCCTTTGTATCCCATATGCAGAGAAGCAGAGAGAGCTGGCTCGGAAGGGCTCCCTGAAGAATGGCAACATGGGAAGCCCAGTTAATCAGCAGCCCAAGAAGAACAACGTGATGGCACGAACAAGGTAAGGGACTGAAAAGGACTCAGCTGAACTCTAAGCTGCAATCCCTAATGGCCTTAGAATGGGCAAGGTCATGTTCATCACCATTTGACCCCTGCCAGAGACATTTGGAAAGCAGTGCTGACCCTTCCTGGAGCTGTGTTGCATCCCATGCCCTGGGGATTTGCAGGGACAGCTGAGCCCAGGACCAGTGACAGTGCAGGCCAGCCTGGTCAAAGTCTGGGGTTTGACATGGCTGTCTTGCATGTTTTGTGTAGCCTCATGTACCATGTAAACCTGCCAGTTGGAGAGGCACGATGCTGTTTCATGTAACACAAATTGGTTTAGAGCTTAGTTCTTCTTTGGCTGCTTTTATCACAGTGGTACCCCTGCTCCTTTTCAATGTCCCCCTTCCCCATACTGACAGACTTCATTAAGGCTTGTAAATAATCCATGTCTTTGCCATATGGCTTTGCCATATACCTCCTCCACACTTTGAATAGCATGGCCATACTTTGCTGGAGCTGCTTTGGCACATTTCTGTATGACAGTATCAGGCAGTGCTGCAGACCGCTGTGAACAAAGATTCCTAGCTGAATACGTTGCTTTAGAGTATTTCCATTTTTTTCGTGCAAGCTCCAGTACACCAGTGTATGACTTACCTGCATTCAGGAGGCAGGAAACCCCCTGAGCCCATGGGACTGCATGCTTTGCATGCAGTTAGAAAGGTGGCAAGTTTTAGTACAGGATCTCACTTAAAAAGACAGAAGAATCTGCATGAACGCTGAGTATTTACTGATGAATGGGAAAGTTGCATAGATTACCATGTATTAAGTAGAACAGGAGCTGCAGGTCAGACCCTCTCTGTATGCAACACATCCAACAGATAAAGTACCTTGTTCCACTAATTCCCTAAACCCAAACTAGTAGTCATAAATCATGCCAGCACTTTGTCAAGTTTTATTCTGTAAGCCTCTGCAATGTTGGTGGAATATACTGCATTGCTCCCGGCTCTGAGTTTGGCACGCAAAGGAGCCAGGCCCTTCGTGGCAGCAAGAAATTCAGCAAATGCAGGGTTTTCCATGCCCACTCTTCCTCCTTGTCTTGCAAATACAAGCTGGAAAGACTTGGCTTCTTTTGGCAATAGGCTGTGTGCTAGCTTCCCAGGAGAAATCACAGTAGACTTGTCACTTGAGAGATTCAGAAGCACTGAAATTAGCAGAGGGAGAGAAGATGGAATAAGTACAGGTGCGTACCTGTAAAATCAGTGACTTCTGCTTGGAGAGGCTGTTTCCGAACTGCTGATGAAAGAAGTTATTTGAGTGGGGAAGAGCAAAGCAGTGACAGTGACATCTATTAACAAAAGCTTTCCAACAAGCAGCTAAGTTTTATTCCACTGGGGACATGTGAGCACTGTTCAGAAGACATTTAGACCCCTCCACAGCCAGTCATAGCCTCCTGGCACTAGCCTTGCTTTTCTTAGTAACTTGTCGCACATCGTTTTAGAAGCATCCCTTGGGATCGGCAAAACTGAGGTTTGCAGCCACTGCTTTAGCCAGCCCTGTTGTTCCCATATGGCTGGGAGGTTCTGGCACAGAGTCTCACCAGTCCAAGTGCCTTCATCCCTCAGCTTCCTTGGCTTTCTGGGAACCAAGCTGTACCATGAGCACAGCCCTAGTAATACCTGGGACTGGTTCAGTTTCTCTTGCCACAGACAGGGCAACCCAGGGAATGCAGACATGGCACAAGTTTATTCAAGCAGCTTCTTTTCACAGTGTAAAGGTTGCAGTATAACAGAAGATACACTGCAAAACATCCAGGTTATGTTTCTAGTCTTAACTGTCAGCCTTCTCTGGTCTCTGCAGGAGGAAAAATAAATAAATAAATAAAGCCGTTTCCCCCCTTGTAAGAGTTCTGCTGTTCTCATCAAATATGTTTTCCTTCATTCAGGCAAACCACATTGCCTCTTCTAGTCTTTACTCCACCGCCTCCTCCTTCCCCAAGGCTTCTGTTCTTCTGTGTTACCTGTATGGATTTCTGACATCCAGCCTCTAGTTCCAGGTTGACTTCACCATTCATTCTTCTCCTGGAGCAAGCGCACAGCCAACCTTAGAGGTGAAAGGATCTGGATCAGTAATACACTCAGTCTCCCTAAGAGCAAATAAAATGTGACCAAGGTTGGGGTGATGCTGGCACACATGCTACGAGCACAGGCAGAGCCTGCACCACTTGGGCACAGCCAGATATTGCAGTCTACTCTGAGGATAACCTAAACTCAGATATATGTCATAACATATTTCATGTTAAGTGAGCAAAGGCACTGAGACAAGAAGCTCATACTGGGACAGTTGCAGATGAAAGCAGCTACAACTGCTACGCAGCTTTGTTCGAAGGGCAGTGGGAAGCAAAAATAAGGACAATCAGGATGTGAGGGAAAGAGACATTATCACGGTTTTTGTCTGTTGCAGAAAGACTGAATTTCTATGTTACTGAGGAGAAAAAAAGATATTTCTCAAGAAAAAGATGTAGTGATTTTTTTTAATTTTTTTTTTAGTTAAATAGGTAGCACCAGAAAGGGTTCTTCTCTTTGATCCCCTGATAATGCTTTGTTCACTGTTGGTATAGTAACAATCATTAGTGAGTATATATGGATCAAAGACTTGAAAACTGGAGAGCGAGAATGGAAGTCAATACTTCTGATATCTGTATGGAAAGGCTGCTGCTGCCAGCTCACATCTTCTGTTTCAGTCCTCTTTGCTTCTTGAGTTCCTTCCTATGTGCTTCAAGAGCAGAAGAATCGTCCTAGTGCTATGAGAAGGGGTATTGAATTTTGCAAGTGGGTCCCATTTTCTTCAGTCCCCTGGTGCAGCAAGTTGGAAATGATGCATCAGTTTGTAAATTGATTTCTTTAATCTTGTGTTTCAATCAACACAGTAAGAAAATACAAGTAGTCTTGAACCTATATATCTGCTTTGTGATAACACTTGATATATTGACTCTCTCTAACTCCTCTTCAGTTCCTGGCAGGCCTTTGTATTGCTAAAATTGTAGTGGCTTCCTGAAATTTTCTGAGCAGAAGCAGAAAAACATTTCAGGTAGTTAGAGAGCAGTTGGAGCATGCATGAGATGGATTATAACCTTTAAATTTCTACCTCCCAAACTAAGTGAAGCGTCACTGTGCATCATTGTGTGCTGTTGAAGACCAGTTCTTTGTATGGGAGAGAACTCGAGTTAACCCACTGAACAAGCTGATTTTCATCACTTTCACGGTTCCCACCTGCTGAACACAGAATCTCACTCCATTTTCTTTGTTTGTTTGATCTTATGTTAAATATGAACCAAAGTCTTTGTTCATTTCTGTGGGTGAAAGAACCCTGTTATGAACTAGATACCATTGTATTAATGGATTTTCCTTATCCTAGAAGCTCTGAAGCCTGTATTCCATTTTACACATGCTCTCAGGCAATTAAAGGTGCAAAGTCATTGTCAGACTTTGTAACACTCCTGATGAAGTGAAAGTCATTATAAGATAATGGGATTTGAAAAAGTGCTAGGCAGAGTGGGCTGTTATGCTGCACCCACCAGCTCATACATCTCATATTTCTAAACTTAGGACTGAGACCTCAGAAGAGTTCAGTTGTGGGAGGATAGATAGGGACTCAGGCAGAAAGACTACATCCCTGATTTCCAGCAGTAGAATAGCAGGAGCACTGGGCCTCTGCCTTTCCCTAGGCAGCCTCCTTCTCCTATTTACTTATTGCTTGTGTCATGTACTCATTGCTGGAAAAAAATACCACAAAACCCAGCAATCTGATAAGACAGGCAGTGCTAATTCACCAGAATGAAGGGTGGAGTGTCCCAGTGTTTTATTTAACCAGGGAAGAGCATGTTTCCAGCACATGTCCAGCATTCATCTGTGGGAAATTGCGCAGAGCTGCCCAGAGACACAGCTTGCTTTCTGTAATTTGCACCCATTTAAACATCTTCATTGATAAGGGAGGGTTTGCAATGAAGTGGGATGGGGAAAGCCTAACTATCATATAGCTTTGCTGTAGACTGTGTGTGGTACAGAGCTTTACTGTGTGGTTAATGGACATTTAATTGTTTCAGGCTCGTCGTTCCCAATAAAGGCTATTCATCATTAGACCAGAGTCCAGATGAAAAGCCACTGGTAGCCCTGGATACAGACAGGTATGCAAAGTGCTAAGAAGACACTATACATTATGGAGCTAGAAAGTTTTCGTGCCAGAGTGCAGAACTGAAGGTAACTCCTGCAGAAACTGCTTTTGTGCACCACTCATTTTCTTCCTTGCTGTGCCCTCTGGCATATGCCATACCTCGTCTGTATGTGTAAACAAGTAGGAAGAGATGTGAGTAAGGAGCACTGTGATGGAAACATACGAGGGTCACAGGTGAAAGTTGCTTTCCAGGCCCCCTTGAGGTAACTTCTCTGTGCCTCAAGGACAGTTTCACGTGAGACAGATAGGTCTAACCAGGGAATACAGGTCTCTTTAAATGTTCCCTTCTTTGCTCTATCTCGTCCTTCCCTGCAGTGATGATGACTTTGACATGTCCAGATATTCCTCCTCGGGATACTCATCAGCTGAGGTGAGTTACACTCTCCTATGTGTCCTTGCCATGAATGGTAATAGTAGAGCATCCAGAAACAGCTTAAAGTGGCCTCGTACTGCCAGAAATGGCTACACAGCAGTTTACTAGCAGTTGTAGACTGTGAGTCTGGAAGGGGCCATTGCAGAAATTGTGTCATGTTTCTTTCTTCCCTGGTGATCCAGTTGGCTCCATCCCCACACTTCTGTGGCACAGAGATCTGCCTTTTGGCTGTTTTCACAGCTACCTTTGGCTTCACTCAGGCTTTTCCCAGTTCTGCGGTGTTGGCCCATGTGGTACAGAAGCATCAACTTGGCTGTCGTGCCAGCTTAGAAGCCATATGCTTGCTAAGGATACAAATAAAGGTTCTGAGGGTGTGCTGTGATTTCCAGTTCTTGGGGCAGTCAAGGTCACCCAGTGTGTGTTCATCCAGAGCAGAGACCAGATCAAATTATCTGGGCCAGCTGTGGGCCCTGATAAAGTGGTGTTCACCCAGATCTGGTTAGACAGCTCTTGAAACTGAGATTACAAAGAGGCAAAAGGGTTTACCACTTTTCAAGTGCTATAGGGTGCCCCAGTCTGTGAGACGGGTGCCTCACTGTCAGTTGGTTTATTAATATTATTATTACATCAGTTTAAATCAAGGTTTGTCTTCATTAAAAGATTATCCCACAATATAATAGTTTATCGACCTCTGGATTATCTCACTCTAGACATAGATATTCCTATTCTGGAAGAAGCTAGAATAGAGAAGGCAGTCTTCACCTGTGGTCAAAAACTGGGATTCTTTCATTGATGGCTCAGCTGCTAATGATGGGGGAATGCATTCCAGAATAAGGGACCTCCTTCATCTTCACCTTTTGACCATCAGAAGTCTCAAGTGTTTGACTGTTTGTCCCTTTGTCTGTAGCAGATCAACCAAGACTTGAACATCCAGCTGCTAAAGGATGGGTACCGGTTAGATGAGATCCCAGATGACGAGGACCTCGACCTAATCCCCCCTAAATCGGTCAACCCAACCTGCATGTGTTGCCAAGCCACCTCCTCCACCGCCTGTCACATCCAGTAGTGAGGCCGGCAGGCTGTGATCAATGCTTTCCACTATAACTGTAAAACTTAACAGCCATTGCTTCCTCCTATGGTAGGACGTGCACCTCTTTGTGTTCATGGAGCCAGGAGAAACCAAAAAATGCATTTTATGATTGGTTGATAAGTTATTTTAAATTATGGTTAAACAAAAGTTGCTCAAAGCGCCAGGCAGTGCCTGGCAAAACTGACTGGTCTGGAGAGTGAATGCAGAGTTGTCCAGAGATACCTCCTTGGTTTGTGTAGGCACTGGGGATGTTTTGTAAGGTGTCTGTTACAGAATGGGAAGGGTCAGATGGGGATGCAGGTAATTGCCCCACCAAAAATAATCCATCTGCAAGATCAGGGGTGAGTCTGAGGAGCCAGGAGGTTTTACCTGTGAGAGGATGTTGGGTTTTAATTCATTCACTAACCTTGTTTCACTTGCAATGATACTGGGGCGCAGGAATGAGCAGAGCATCCTTTCTCATGGCAAGGCTAGCCAGGACTAGCATGGCACAATTTGTTCACTTGTAAAGAGGACAAATAGGTAGCATTTCACTGTGAGTCAGTACTAACGGTCGTGTCACATATCCAGTGCAATCTGCCCTTAGCTTCACATCAAATTATCACCAAACACATCCAATTTGATTTGCAATCCATTGAGGAATCAGTCCTTGCCTAAGAACACCGTACTCCTGAGTTCAGTCCAGTCACATATACTGACTCCGGCCTTTATTTAATTCCCATGAGACCCATCTGTTTCCAAAAATCTTAAACTCTGTTCAACTAAGAAAAAGTAAGTCCTGCATGAGACAGGTCTGGAGCCATACAGCCTGAAGGTCAGTGCTGGAAAAGCTACTTAAAGAAAGCATGCTTTTACAGTACTCATCTATTGATATTCTCTTGACACTGCGCCTCTTGGTGCCTGTGGGAGAGATTTGTTAAGGCTGAAGGCATCTGTGTGCTGGCATCAGACTTTAGGGGAGTTTTCAGCAACAGCAGGATTATAAGCAGCTTCATCTGAAAAAAAACCCATGAGAGGAAACTACTGTTTATCCATTTCTGCCCACTTGTGAGCCATGCTTGCTCTGTATTAAAGCTGTCCCATATCAGGAGCAATTGTGTTTACTTGTTGCTGGAATAGTCAGGAGAGCTGGCATTACATCTGCTGGACTGGATTGCCAGTTCACCAGCAGATTGCTTTGAATGCAGCATAATTTCTGGAATTAGGAAATACATCCTCTCCTGGCTGGTCTTACATCGCTGGCTTCAGCATGTGTGGGGCTCAGGCAACGGATGGGCTGGTATTTTTCTCCGTGTTGAAATCTTTTGCCACAACTGTGTGTTTTTCTGTCCTGCCAGGAGGAAGGACTGCCTGCCTTGGGTATCACTTGCTTTATTGCCTGGGGAAGGGAAAAAGCAAAGACAGTTCTGAGCTTCCCATCAGAATTCCTGAGTCACAAGGCAGAGCCTGAGCTCCATCCCTGCAGACAGATCCCGCATCTGAAATCTGCATGAAGTGAGCTGAGTAAGAAATCCTTTTCATGGTTAGAAGATTTATTTGACATCCTGTGGTTTCAGTCTGTGCAGCGTGAAGCACAACACCATCCACCGTGTGAGCAAAAGAGCAGGCACACATGATTTCTGGGCTCTGTTGTTCACTAGCTGGTATGGAAAATTGTTAAAGCTATGTTTGGCCCCCCATCCCTTAAATAGCACGCTGCCACCCTGGCTCCAGAACACAGAAAGAGGACTGAGTGGTGCTGTTTACCAAGCATCCCTGCCTCCTCATGCAGAAGTGCTGGTTAACTTCCCAGCTCCTCTAGGAAGGGTGTTCCTCAAGTGAATTCCTCTCCCTTTCACACCACTTGGTAATGCTGGGGGGATACATAATAGGTTAGGATGAAGTTAACAAGTTGTCTGGAGTTGGAGGGAGAGCTCTAACAACACTGTGTAGAGACAAAAGATAAAAGAGAAAAAACATTCCTTAAGGAGTCTTTTTAATGGGGATTGTAGTCAAAATCTAACAGAAACACCATGGTCAAACCAAACCCTGTAGGACATGACCCAGTCTGTTGAAATCATCACTCCTCTCAAGAGGGACTCTGCAGTTCAGCATTGGTACCATGCAGCATTTTACATCACATTTATCCTTCTAGGTCAGTCTCTGTGCCTTCCAGCCGGGCTGCACACACTGCGCCTTTCCCACAGCCCTTGCTCAGGAGCATTTCGGTGTGCCTGCTAGAGCAACAAGCCATCTGTTTACATGGGTCAGCCATGAAGGGCTGCAGGTCCCACAGGTCTGTGTCATGCTGCCATTGTGTTTGGCCTAAGACAGAATGAGGCTTGCTGACACTGTGTCTCCCAGGATTAACACCTCCCCTCCAAAGGACAGACCTTCCCTGATAACCCCATGGCACCATGACCAAGTCCTTTTATTGCCCCTATTGCTGGTTTTTGCCTGCCATGTGCCCTGAGGCATTCCTCAACCCTGCACCTGCCCTCAGCCCTTTGCATTGTGTAATGTGCATCTACTTCTTGCACAACCCTTTAGGGAGGGAGGGAGGGAGACGAATTTAAATGTAACAGCCAGTGCTTTCACCAAATACAGACCAAAGCACAGGCCAAGTGTTTTTCCGTGCACACACAGAAGGAGTTGGTTGCACAAATAGCTGTTTTGGCATGACAGTACAGGACCATAAAATGGCAATTTTTTGGCTTCTCCTCTCTATGCTTTGTGTTCGTATATTTTATCAGGGGGATAAAGTAGAAAGGGTGGGGAAAAGTAGTTACCTGTGTAGGGTCGTTATCAGGAAGGCTGAATGGATTAAGGCAACGCACATGTGGCTATCATAGAAAACTGAACACTAACCCTTCTGAACCACAGCCCCTTAAGCAGGTTACAACCACATGGCATGTTTGCTGGCTCATTATGGAATGTGGTGGAGAGCCTGTCAGTCTGTGTTAATGGCAGATAAGGCTGGCTCTCCCTATCTGGTCTCATGTTCAGACCTTTGCTTCTGCCAGAAGGTTTTCTTTGTGCCCTCAGTGCAGGTTATGCTGTAGTAACTTTGTGGGAAGGTGTACAGGTACATGGCCATTCTGGCACTGCTCTCCTTAGACCAGTCTTTGCCACCATGGCCTGGAAAAACAAAGAGTGTAAGCCCTGTCTATACTCTGTCATAGTATTATAAAGCCCTAGAATCTGCAGAGCTGCTAGGCATTCTCCTAAATGCAGGTTGCATGCAAAAAAGCAAATTATTCTGTATTCCAGTCTTTGCACCAAACCATATGGTCTTCTCAGGCCCCATTTTCAGGCCAAAGTTGTACAGAATACCAAGGAGAGGAGCACAATGAAAGACATTGCTGTCCATCTAAATTACCATGCAAATAGGATTTAAGGATATTGATCTGGTGTCTTCACAAAGGAACTTGCATTTGATTCCTCCTAAAGCCAGACTGGCTTTTTGTTAGGATTTTATGTAATTTCAGTCACCAAATTGCTCAAGTTTAAGCAAAGTTCCGTTTATCACATGATAATTTTGCTCTTTAGTGTAAGCTGGCTTTGAACTCCAGTGTCTCAGCACTTAACTCTTGTCCACGAACTCCCTATTTCCAGATGTCTGTGTGAGGAAGGTCTTTAGATAGCATGGTTTAGTCATGGTGGTTGTAAATAAACTTTGGCTGAAAGGAGGCTGATGTTCAAGCAATCATCTTTAAGGTTCGCTTGATGTCCTACTGGACGTATCTTGAATCCAACCCTTGGAAGAGCCACTGGATCATATCTGATGTTGCTACACGTCTACCCCCAACATGTATGCTTGGTCGCTGGGTCTGCTGTGCTGTTCTGGATGTCTTGCCTGCAGATGCCTTGTGACTGCAAAAGCAGGTGACCAAGCCTGCTGCATGAACTTACAAAGGGACTTCAGGATGCTCACCCATGGACAGGATGGACTCAGCTGCTTCTGGTTTGTCTCTCCAGCTCCTTTCCCAAAAGGAAGCACCCACTCAGCTCAGCTGCCTGCTGGCTGGCACATTGATCCATGATACTGAGCAGCATCGTTTCCTCTCCATGCAGAGTCTGTCCTCAGGCTGGCCTGCAAGATGTACAACAGCAGGCAGGAGGCTTGAAAAGTACAGCTCCCTGTGTGTGACTCAACAGAAACATGAAGATGCTTTTGAAGAAAGGAAGGACCCAGCTGGGCACCAGATGGAACAACAGGAAAGGGAAAACAAGCAGTAACTAGAAAGGTTGCCAAGTGCTGTCTTGGCCTAGGGCAGATCCCAGTTGTCCCAGTTAATCTATCTCAGTGCAGTGCTGAAACCAGCAGGGAGCAAAGCTCACTTTCAGATGCACACACCAGAAACACCGTGTCCCTGAGCCAGCACTGCAGCCAAATACAACTGTGGAGAATCTGATGGACTGTTAGAGCAGGGGAATGAGATCTGGAGTCCCTTGCTGCTGTTGGCACATGGTAAACATTTGCTCTAACCTCAGGCAAGTCACGTACCCTCTTGATGTCCATTCCCTTCTGCAGCACAGAAAGGAATGGACAGGAAACCTGCCTTTTGAAGGTGCTACCACCACCCTGCATGGATGTTGCCAAATGTGTGACGGGAACCACTGATAGGATAGCTGTGCCAGCAAGATGTAAAAAGCATGCTATAGACATTTTATGGATATTTTCAAAGCACTAATTTGCTTTCCTCCTATTTACCAGCTTCTGGTGTTGCTTGCATGTGACAGGGTAGAGGTTAGTAGGGAGATTAAATTTTGGCATCATGTGTTTCCCGGTTATGTGGCAGCTGGCTCATGCACAACTGGCTTCTCAATCTGCATGATGCCACAGGGAGCATGTAAGAAGATTTGGTGTCCCAACAGCTCCATCCCCTGCTAGTAGAATTAAGGAATTCAGGAGAACAACTGGGACAGAGAGTGCTTATGAGAGGGAAGAGGGCATTGAAGGGCTCAGTTGGCAGTTTAACACTCTTACATCCATGTAACCGTGTGAGGATGTAGACTGGCAGTTTTGCTTACACTCCCCCTTCACTTCTCATTCTCCTTTTAGGGTCACATAGGCTCACATCTACATTGATGAGCAGCAGCATAGGGTAATCCGGGCTAGGTTGAGTATAA